CTGGGGCTGGGCCCTCCGGAATTCCGGGAATTCCAGGATTTCTGGGATTTCCCACCTGTTGGAGAGGCTGGAGGTGCAAAGCCCCTCCCAAAAACCCCAAATCCCAAATTCCCCTGATCCTGATGCTCCCACCTCCCCAGAGTTTGCTCCCAGAGCCCCGTCACCCCAAACCTGGGGCTGGGCCCTCCGGAATTCCAGGAATTCCAGGATTTCTGGGATTTCCCACCTGTTGGAGAGGCTGGAGGTGCAAAGCCCCTCCCAAAAACCCCAAATCCCAAATTCCCCTGATCCTGATGCTCCCACCTCCCCAGAGTTTGCTCCCAGAGCCCCGTCACCCCAAACCTGGGGCTGGGCCCTCCGGAATTCCGGGAATTCCGGGATGTCCCACCTGTTGGAGAGGCTGGAGGCGGAGGAGGAGGCGGAGTGCAGCCGGGGGGGCTCGCTGCCCGTGTCCATGTCCACGTCGCTGCGCGAGCGCGGCACCAGCTCCGCGCGCCGCGAGCGCCGCAGCTCCTCCCGCCCCTTCAGCGACTCCGAGCGGCCCAGGCGCACCTCGCAGCGCGAGCTAATGGGGGGAAAAATGGGAATTCTGGGCAAAATACTGGGGTTCGGGGCAAACAATCCCCAGGGATTGAGGCAAAAAGTCCCCAGGAATTACGGGAGAAATCATGGGGTTTAGAGGGAAACGCCAGGATCAGGCGCGCCTCGCAGTGCGAGCTGCTGGGCATGGGCAATTCCAGGGGAAAAAAATGGGAATTCTGGACAAAATACTGGGATTCGGGGCAAAAAATCCCCAGGGATTGAGGCACAAAATCCCCAGGAATTACGGGAGAAACCATGGGGTTTAGAGGGAAACGCCGGGATCAGGCGCGCCTCATAGCGGGAGCTGCCGGGAAACAGGGAAAAAAATGGGAATTCTGGACAAAATACTGGGATTTGGGGCAAAAAATCCCCAGGAATTGCGGCAAAAAATCCCGGGAATTATGGCAAATAATCCCCAGGAATTACAGGAGAAATCATGGGATTTAGAGGGAAACGCCGGAATCAGGCGCACCTCGTAGCGGGAGCTGCTGGGGAAAAAAATGGGAATTATGGGCAAATCCCGGGATTTTGGGGGAATCCCAGAATTTCAGGGGAACCCCAGGATTTCTGGGGGATCCCGGGATTTTGGGGGAATCCCAGAATTTCAGGGGAACCCCAGGATTTCAGGGGGAATCCCAGTATTTCGGGGGAATCCCAGGATTTCTGAGGAATCCCAGAATTTCAGGGCAACCCCAGGATTTCAGGGGAACCCCAGGATTTCAGGGGGACCCCGGGATTTTGGGGGATCCCGGGATTCCGGCGCTCACCCGTCGGGCTCCAGCAGCTCCTCGGGAATGCTGCCCGTGGAGAGGCGCTGCGAGCCCGGCTCCGGGGGCTCCCCGTGGCTGTTCTCAAAGTGCTGGATCATGGTCCGGACGTTCCCCGGCTTCACTGCTGGGAAAAACCCGGAATTCCGGGATCTGGGGGCGCCTCAGAGACAATTCCCAGCCCAAATCCTGAATTTCCCGTCCGAAATCCCCGAAAATTCCCACCCCAAATCCAAAATTCCCGATTCTAAATCCTGAGTTTCCCATCCCAGATCCCAAATTCCTGATCCTAAATCCTAGATTCCCAATCCTAAATCCCAAAATTCCCAATACTAAATCCCAAATTCCTGATCCTAAATCCTAGATTCCCAATCCTAAATCCCAAAATTCCCAATCCTAAATCCCAAATTCCTGATCCTAAATCCTAGATTCCCAATCCTAAATCCTAAAATTCCAGATCCTAAATCCCAAAATTCCCGATCCTAAATCCCAAATTCGTGATGCTTAATCCTGAATTTCCCATCCTAAATCCCCAAATTCCCATCCTAAAATCCCAAATTCCTGATCCTTAATCCTGAATTCCCCATCCTAAATCCCCGAATTCCCATCCTAAAATCCCAAATTCCCAATCCTAAATCCCAAAATCCCCAAATTTGCCACCTCAAATTCCCATCCCAAATCCTAAACCTGATCCCACTTCCCGAATTTCCCATCCTGAATCCTGAACCCCCAATTTCCCCCCTAAACCCCAAATTCCTAAATCCCAAATCCCAACCCCTCAAATCCCAGAGTTCCCAGGAATTTCATCAGGGAAGGAAAAATGGGAATAAACCCCGAAACCAAGGGAAAAAAAAAAAAATCATGGAAAAATGAAGGAAAAGCAACAAAAAAGTTGGGAATTTTTACCTTCCGCAGGGGACAGGGGGACATGAAATGCTGGAAAACAAAGAGGAGATGTCAAAATTCCCAAAATCCCGGGGAAAAAGCGGGAATTCGGGAATGCTGATGGGATGAGAACGGAAAAGAACGGGATGGGAATGCGGGAATGAGGCTGGGATCAGGGAATTCCAGGGAAAATCCCAGGAAAATCCTAGGAGAGTCCCAAGAAAATCCCAGGAAATTCCATAAAAATTCTCAAGAAAAGGCCTGTAAAATGCCAAGGAATTCCCAGGAATGCCCAGGCATTCCCGGACTCCGGAATTCCGGGGTCACTCACTGCTCTGGGAGGAGCTCCGGGGTTTCCCGATGTATTTCAGGATCGGGTTCTGCCTCTGCTCCTTCTCCTTCCTGGAGCTGCTGCTCTGTTGGGAAAAAATCCTGGAATCGCTGGGAATCCCGGGAATTCCCCGGCCCAAACCCCAGAATCCCATCCCGAATTCCCAATCCCCACCCCACATCCCGAATTTCCATCCCAAATCCCGAATTCCCGTCCCAAATCCCAGGATCTGGGTCAAAAAATCCCGGAATTCAGGTCTAAAATTCCCAGGATTTGGGCGAAAATTCCCGGGATTCCCCCCGAAACCCCCAGGCTGGACCCCTGGGATCTCCTCCCCGAGCTGCTCCTGGGAATTCCGGGGAATTCCTGGGAATTCCTGGGAATTCCCACCTTTTTGGCCTTGGGGAAGAAGGGCAGCCACTTGTCCTTGTCCGGGAGCTTCTCGGAGGCTCCGGGGTTGCGGGATTCCCGGGATTCCCGGAATTCCCGGGGCCGGATCCCAGCGTGGGCCATGAAGGTGCTGAGGGCGAAGGCCATGGGAGAGCTGGGAGAGAGAATTCCAGAGGGTGGGACCGGCAGAATTCCCGGAATTCCCGGGATCCCCGGGGGCCGGATCCGCTGGGAGAGGGGAAAGTGGGAAAACTGGGAATTCCAGGGGAAGATTCCACAGGGAAAATCGGGAATGGCCCAAATTCCCGGATTTTTCCCCGCTGGATCTGCTCACCTCCGCTCCTCCTCGTACTTGGAGCTGCGGGAAAAGGAATTCCTTGGAGTCTTCCATCCCCAATCCCAAAATTCCCATTCTCTCTCCCAAAATTCCTATTCCCACTCCCAAAATTCTCACTGCAGCCCCACAATCCTATCAGGAATTCCCGAATCCCACCAGGAATTCCCAATCCCAGCTCTCACAGGGTGTCCCCGAGGTGCCCATCCCGACGATCCCATCAGGAATTCCCAAAGATCCCACGGGAATTCCCAACCCCCTCCTCACAGGATGTCCTCCAGGTGGGCAATCCCAATGATCCCAACGACCCCATCAGGAATTCCCAACGGTCCCATGGGAATTCCCAAGAATCCCAAATCCTCACAGGACGTCCCCGAGGTGCCTATCCCGATGATCCCACGGGAATTCCCAAAGATCCCACAGGAATTGATCCCAAATCCTCACGGGATGTCCCCGAGGTGCCCATCCCAGTGATCCCATGGGAATTCCCCACATTCCAAAAGGTCACAGGACGTCCCCGAGGTGCCCATCCCGACAATCCCACGGGAATTCCCAAATCCTCACGGGACGCCCCCGAGGTGCCCATCCCAGCGATCCCATGGGAATTCCCCACATTCCAAAAGGTCACAGGACGTCCCCGAGGTGCCCATCCCGACAATCCCACGGGAATTCCCAAATCCTCACGGGACGCCCCCGAGGTGCCCATCCCAGCGATCCCATGGGAATTCCCCACATTCCAAAAGGTCACAGGACGTCCCCGAGGTGCCCATCCCGACAATCCCATCCGGAATTCCCAAAGCTCACAGGATGTCCCCGAGGTGCCCATCCCTGCGATCCCACCAGAATCCCAACATTCCCAAATCCTCACAGGACGTCCCTGTGGTGCCCATGCCAGCGATCCCATCAGGAATTCCCAACATTCCCAAAGCTCACAGGATGTCCCCAATGTGCCCATCCCAGCGATCCCACGGGAATTCCCAACATTCCCAAATCCTCACGGGACATCCCTGAGGTGCCCATCCCAGCAATCCCATCAAGAAGTCCCAACATTCCCAAAGCTCACAGGATGTCCCCAATGTGCCCATCCCAGCGATCCCATCAGGAATTCCCAACATTCCCAAATGCTCACAGGACGTCCCTGCGGTGCCCATCCCAGCGATCCCATCAGGAATTCCCAACATTCCCAAATGCTCACAGGACGTCCCTGCGGTGCCCATCCCAGCGATCCCATCAGGAATTCCCAACATTCCCAAATGCTCACAGGACGTCCCTGCGGTGCCCATCCCAGCGATCCCATCAGGAATTCCCAACATTCCCAAATGCTCACAGGACGTCCCTGCGGTGCCCATCCCAGCGATCCCATCAGGAATTCCCAACATTCCCAAATGCTCACAGGACGTCCCTGCGGTGCCCATCCCAGCGATCCCATCCGGATTTCCCAATCCTCAGGGGATGTCCCCGAGGTGCCCATCCCAGCGATCCCATCCGGAATTCCCAATCCTCAGGGGATGTCCCCGAGGTGCCCATCCCAGCGATCCCACGGGAATTCCCAACGATCCCACAGGAATTGATCCCAAATCCTCACAGGATGTCCCCGAGGTGCCCATCCCAGCGATCCCACCGGAATTCCCCACATTCCCAAATCCTCACAGGATGTCCCCGAGGTGTCCCAGCTGCCGCTCGGCCAGCGCGCGCTCGCGCTCCCGGCGTTCCCGCGGCTCCCGGGGGCCGTTCCCCAGCTCCAGCTCCTGCAGCTCGTTCTCCCCGTAGAGGCTGCCCAGCCCCAGCGTGCGCTTCGTCCTGGAAAACCACGGGATCAGAGCGCCTGGAATTCCCAACATTCCAAAACACGGGGTGTCCTGCCTGGCTTTCCGGGAAAAGGTAAAAAAAAACGGGATCAGACCTCCTGGAATTCCCAACATTCCAAAACACGGGGTGTCCTGCCTGGCTTTCCGGGAAAAGGTAAAAAAAAACGGGATCAGACCTCCTGGAATTCCCAACATTCCAAAACACGGGATGTCCTGCCTGGCTTTCCGGGAAAAACTAAAAAAAAAACGGGATCAGAACTCCTGGAATTCCCAACATTCCAAAACACGGGGTGTCCTGCCTGGCTTTCCGGGAAAAGGTAAAAAAACACGGGATCAGAACTCCTGGAATTCCCAACATTCCAAAACACGGGATGTCCTGCCTGGCTCTCCAGGAAAAGCTAAAAAAAAACGGGATCAGACCTCCTGGAATTCCCAACATTCCAAAACACGGGATGTCCTGCCTGGCTCTCCAGGAAAAGCTAAAAAAAAACGGGATCAGACCTCCTGGAATTCCCAACATTCCAAAACACGGGATGTCCTGCCTGGCTCTCCAGGAAAAGCTAAAAAAAAACGGGATCAGACCTCCTGGAATTCCCAACATTCCAAAACACGGGATGTCCTGCCTGGCTCTCCAGGAAAAGCTAAAAAAAAACGGGATCAGACCTCCTGGAATTCCCAACATTCCAAAACACGGGATGTCCTGCCTGGCTCTCCAGGAAAAGCTAAAAAAAAACGGGATCAGACCTCCTGGAATTCCCAACATTCCAAAACACGGGATGTCCTGCCTGGCTCTCCAGGAAAAGCTAAAAAAAAACGGGATCAGACCTCCTGGAATTCCCAACATTCCAAAACACGGGATGTCCTGCCTGGCTCTCCAGGAAAAGCTAAAAAAAAACGGGATCAGACCTCCTGGAATTCCCAACATTCCAAAACACGGGATGTCCTGCCTGGCTCTCCAGGAAAAGCTAAAAAAAAACGGGATCAGACCTCCTGGAATTCCCAACATTCCAAAACACGGGATGTCCTGCCTGGCTCTCCAGGAAAAGCTAAAAAAAAACGGGATCAGACCTCCTGGAATTCCCAACATTCCAAAACACGGGATGTCCTGCCTGGCTTTCCGGGAAAAGGTAAAAAAACACGGGATCAGAACTCCTGGAATCACCAACATTCCCAAAATCCGGCACGTCCTGCTTGCCTCTCTAGGAAAAGATTAAAAAAAACGGGATCAGAAGTCCTGGAATTCCCAACATTCCAAAACATGGGATGTCCTGCCTGGCTCTCCAGGAAAAGCTAAAAAAAAACGGGATCAGAAGTCCTGGAATTCCCAACATTCCAAAACACAGGATGTCCTGCCTCGCTCTCCGGGAAAACCTTAAAAAAAACGGGATCAGAACTCCTGGAATCACCAACATTCCCAAAATCCGGCACGTCCTGCTTGCCTCTCTAGGAAAAGATTAAAAAAAACGGGATCAGAAGTCCTGGAATTCCCAACATTCCAAAACACAGGATGTCCTGCCTCGCTCTCCGGGAAAACCTTAAAAAAAACGGGATCAGAACTCCTGGAATCACCAACATTCCCAAAATCCGGCACGTCCTGCTTGACTCTCTAGGAATAGCTTACAAAAAAACGGGATCAGCACTCCTGGAATTCCCAACATTCCAAAACACAGGATGTCCTGCCTGGCTCTCCGGGAAAAACTTAAAAAAAACGGGATCAGAACTCCTGGAATCCCCAACATTCCCAAATCCGGCACGTCCTGCCTGCCTCTCTAGGAAAAGCTTAAAAAAAAACGGGATCAGAACTCCGGGAATCACCAACATTCCCAAAATCCGGCACGTCCTGCTTGACTCTCTAGGAATAGCTTACAAAAAAACGGGATCAGCACTCCTGGAATTCCCAACATCCCAAAACACAGGATGTCCTGCCTCGCTCTCCGGGAAAACCTTAAAAAAAACGGGATCAGAACTCCGGGAATCACCAACATTCCCAAAATCCGGCACGTCCTGCTTGACTCTCTAGGAATAGCTTACAAAAAAACGGGATCAGCACTCCTGGAATTCCCAACATCCCAAAACACAGGATGTCCTGCCTCGCTCTCCGGGAAAACCTTAAAAAAAACGGGATCAGAACTCCGGGAATCACCAACATTCCCAAAATCCGGCACGTCCTGCTTGACTCTCTGGGAAAAGATTAAAAAAAAACAGGATTGGGAGCGCTCAGGAAGTCCCGAAATTCCCCAAATTTGGGATTTTCTACTTGGTTCTGCGGGAAAAACAGAAAAAACGGGATTGGGAACTCCCAGAATTCCCAAGATCTGGGATTTCCAAAAAAAAAACGGGATCAGGATGTCCCGAAATTCCCGATTCTCCTGAAGTTTTCATGGGAAAAACAAAAAAAAATGGGATGGGGAGCTCCTGAAATTCCCAACATTTGGGATTTTCCTCAGGTTCAGCTGGGAAAAAGCAAAAAAAAAACCGGGATTGGGAGGCGCAAAAACTCCCAAAATCCGGGGATTTCCCGAGGTTCTGCCCCAAAGAGGGACGGGGAGCTCCCGGAATTCCCAGAGCTGGGGATTTTCCTGGGATTTTCCCGGGGTTTGGGGCGGCTCCCACCTGTAGTCCTGGAGCTGCTCCTGGATTTCCGGGATGAGGAATTCCTGCGCCTCCAGCAGCGCCGGCCGCAGCTCGTCGCCGTTCCGCAGGCGCAGCTCTGGGAATTGGGGAAATTGGGGATTTTGGGAACGCTCCCGTCACGGCAGGGCTCATTCCCAACTTTCCTGTGGCTCGGGGAAAAGTTTGGGAATTCCCAATCCAGGCCCCGGGATCCTTTTCCAGGGGGAAATTCCTGGAATTCTGAACTCACCGATCTCGGCCAGGAGATGCTCTGGCAGCTTCACCCGCAGGGGCTGGAAAAGAGGGAAAAGCATCCCAAAATCCTGGGAAATCCATTCCAAAATCCCAGGAAATCCTCCCCCCCGCCCCAGGAAACCCTCCCAAAATCTATCCCAAAATCCTGGGAAACCCATCCCAAAATCCTGGGAAAACCATCCCAAAAATCCAGGAAATCCTCCCAAAAAACCATCCCAAAATCCTGGGAAAACCATCCCAAAATCCTGGGAAAACCATCCCAAAAATCCAGGAAATCCTCCCGAAATCCATCCCAAAATCCTGGGAAATCCATTCCAAAATCCCAGGAAATCCTCCCCCCCGCCCCAGGAAACCCTCCCAAAATCTATCCCAAAATCCTGGGAAACCCATCCCAAAATCCTGGGAAAACCATCCCAAAAATCCAGGAAATCCTCCCGAAATCCATCCCAAAATCCTGGGAAATCCATCCCAAACTCCTGAAAATCCTCCCCAAATCCCTGAAGATTCTCCAAAATCCCCGGAAATCCTCCCCAGGTGCTGGGAAATGCTCCCCAAATTCCAGAACACCATCCCAAAATTCTTCCAAGTCCCGGAAAACGCTCCCAAAACCCCTTGAGCCCCCCCAGGGCCGGGCAGCCCCCGAATCCCGGGAATGCCGGCGCTCACCGCCGCCCTGTCCAGGAAAACGTTCCAGATGTCCCTGCCCAGGGCCCGGCTCTCCCGGGGGCTCTGCTGGCAGCAAACCTCGGAGCACAGGTGGAAGAGCTGCAGGAATGCCGAGGAAATCCCGGGAATGCCGAGGAAATCCCGGGAATTCCGAGGAAATCCTGGGAATTCTGCTCCATCCCGACCCCTGGGAACGCCCTGGGAGGCGCCAGGGGCTGGGAATGGGATCCCACGGGGAGGAAATCTGGGGATTTATTCCCAGGAATGTCCTTGGAAGCTCTGGGAGCGCTCTGGGAGGTACCAAAAGTTGGGAATGTGATCCCAAGGGTCAGGAAATTCCAGGAATGTTGAGGAAATCCCGGGGATTCCGAGGAAATCCCGGGAATTCTGCTCCATCCCGACCCCTGGGAACGCCCTGCGAGGTGCCAGGGGCTGGGAATGGGATCCAAGGAGGAGGAAATCCCAGAATTCCTGCTCAGTTTTTATTCCCAAGAATATTCCTGGAATCTCTGGGAGGTGCCAGAGGTTGAGAATGGGACCCCAAGACCAGAAAATCTCTGGAATTATGAGAAAATCCTGGGAATTCTGCTCCATCCATGATCTTGGAATGCTCTGGGAGGTGCCAGAGGTTGGGAATGGGATCCCAGAGGCCAGAAAATCCCGGGAATTTTGGGAATTCCTTACCAGAGGAGTAGGATCAGCCTGGGAGAAGAGGAACCTCAGGAAAACTCCCAAATGGGCCGGGCGGGACTTGAGAATTCCCAAATCCTGGAACACTGAATCGCTCTGGGAACAGAGAGAGGGAGAGGAGGGAAGTGCCAGGATCCCAAAAAATCCCCTCCAAAATCCCCCCAGGAATTCCCAAATCCCCATTCCCGCTCTTCCCGCAATCCTCACCTCGTTGCTGCCGCTGCCAGGCTCGCAATCCTCCTCGGGGCCGATGATCTGGGGCCTCCCCGATCCCTATCCCGAAAAAAAACCGGGATCAAGCTCTGGCAACAGCCCTAGGGAGGATCCCCGTGGGGATTCCCGGGATTTTCCCAGGATTTTCCCGGATTTTCCGGGATTTTCCAGCCCCACCGGATCCGTGGAGAGGCGGGAGCCGAGCACGGGGGAGCTCCGGGGGCTGCCGGGCTCGGAAAAGCCGGAATTCCGGGATACCTGGGAACGGGAATTTCGGGATCAGGATCCCAAAAACCCCCAGGGAAGGCGGGGATCCCAAAATCCCTCGGAATTCCCAGGGAAAAACGCCCAGAGAGGGAAAGGGAGCTGGGAATTCCAGGGGATCCCAAATTCTGGGGGGAGTTTTTCCCTCTCCTGGAATTTTTCCCTCTTTCACCAACCTTTTCCTGGAATTCCCCCCATTTTTCCCAGAATTTTCACCCCCTTTCCCCAGATTTTTCCTGGAATTATTTCCCCCTCTCTTTCCCTTGTTTTTTCCTCAATTTCCCCCCCTCACCTTCTCCCTGGAATTTCCCCCCCCCACCAGGCTTTTCCCAAACTTTTCCTGGAATTTCTCCCCCTTCTTCCCAAACCTTTCCTGGAACTTTCACCCTCTCTTCCCAAACTTTCCCTGCGGTTTCCCCCCCGCTCTTCCCAGATCTTCCCGAACTCCTCCCCACCCTTTTCCCGGATTTCTCCCGGATTCCTCCCGGATTTTTCCCGGATTTTTCCCGGCGTTCCCCTCACCTCTGCGGATTCCAGCCCCGGGTCCCCATCCTGGGGATCCCTCGGGAAACGCCCCGGGAGCTGCGGGGAGCCCCGGAGAGCCTCCCCTTCCAGGGGCCGGGAGCCCAAATCCTGGGAAAAGGGACACGGGGTCAGGGAATTCCCAGGAAAGGCAGAAAAGGGAAAAAGGGATCCCAGAAATCTGGGAATGAGGGAATTCCCACCCTCGCCCACGATTCCCACCGAGCCTCTCCACCCCCAGTTTTATTTTTTGGGAAAAGCATCCTGGGATTCCCAGAATTTCTGGGTTTATTCCCAGATTTATTCCTGGGATCATTCCCTGATTTATTGCCAGATTTATTCCCAGAATTTCCGGATTTATTCCCAGGATCATTCCCAGACTTATTCTCAGATTCGCTCCTGGATCATTCCCAGAATTCCCTGATCCTTCCCAAGATTATTCCCAGAGTATTCCCTGATCCATTCCCATCCCATTCCCACATAATTCCCAGGATCCTTCCCAGAATTCCTGGATCAATGCCATCTCATTCCCATCTCATTCCCATCCCATTCCCATCCCGTTCCCATCCCATTCCCAGCTCCATTCCCAGCCCATTCCCAGCTCCATTCCCATCCCGTTCCCATCCCATTCCCAGCTCCACTCCCAGCCCATTCCCGGTCCATTCCCAGCCCCATTCCCATCCCGTTCCCAGCCCCGTTCCCGTCCCCATTCCCATCCCATTCCCATCCCGTTCCCATTTCCATTCCCATCCCATTCCCAGCCCGTTCCCATCCCATTCCCATCCCATTCCCATATCCATTCCCATCCCGTTCCCGTTCCCATCCCGTTCCCATTTCCACTCCCATCCCATTCCCATCCCATTCCCATCCCGTTCCCAGCCCCATTCCCATATCCATTCCCATCCTGTTCCCGTTCCCATCCCGTTCCCATTTCCACTCCCATCCCATTCCCATCCCATTCCCGGCCCGTTCCCATCCCGTTCCCAGCCCCGTTCCCGGCCCGTTCCCATCCCACTCCCATCCCGTTCCCATCCCATTCACAGCTCCATTCCCAGCCCGTTCCCGGTCCCGCTCCTATCCCGTTCCCGTTCCCATCCCATTCCCAGCTCCACTCCCAGCCCATTCCCGGTCCATTCCCAGCTCCATTCCCATCCCGTTTCCAGCCCCATTCCCAGCCCCATTCCCATCCCGTTCCCGTTCCCATCCCGTTCCCGTTCCCATTTCCATTCCCAGCCCCATTCCCATCCCATTCCCAGCTCCATTCCCATGCCGTTCCCATCCCATTCCCATCCCGTTCCCGTTCCCATCCCATTCCCAGCCCCATTCCCGTTCCCATTTCCATTCCCATCCCGTTCCCATCCCGTTCCCGGCGCCGTACCGCGGCTCCGCGCGCCTCCTGCAGCACCTTCAGCTGCAGCTGGCTGAGCCGGCGCCGCGCCCCCTCCAGCTGCTCCTCCAGCGCCGCGCCCGGCTGCCGCTGCAGCAGCTCCTGGAAGCGCTGCCGCGGGCACGGAACGCCACCGGGAACGCCGGGAACACCGGGAACACCGGGAACACCGGGAGACAAACCCAGAAAATCATAAACATACATCCTCAGGAAAACCCCCCAACGCGACACCGCTCTGCCTGCGGCTTTCCGGGGTTTTTCATGGGAACGCCGGGACACACAGGGATGGAATTCCCACACCATTCCCAGGAAAACACCGGAAAATAATAAAAAATAATCCCAGAAAATACCAGAAAATAATAAAAAAAATAATCTCAGGAAAATCCCCAAAAATGCCACCGGTCTGTCTGGGGTTTTCTGGGGTTTTTCATGGGAACGCCGGGACACACAGGGATGGAATTCCCACAGCATTCCCAGGGAAAGCCCAGGAAAACATCCAGGAAACACCGAAAAATAATCCAAAAAACCCCCAGAAAATAATAAAAAAATATCCCAGAAAATAATAAAAAAAATAATCTCAGGAAAATCCCCAAACATGACACCGCTCTGCCTGGGGTTTTCCAGGGTTTTTCATGGGAACGCCGGGACACACAGGGATGGAATTCCCACAGCATTCCCAGGAAAAACACCAGAAAATAATAAAAAATAATCCCAGAAAATAATTAAAAAAAAAATATCCCAGAAAATCCCAGAAAATATTAAAAAAAATAATCTCAGGAAAATCCCCAAAAATGCCACCGGTCTGCCTGGGGTTTTCCGGGGTTTTTCATGGAAATGCTGGGAAGGAGAGGGAATTCCCACAGCATTCCCAGGGAAACCCGGGAAAACACCCAGAAAACATCAAAAAATAACAAAAAAAAATCCCAGAAAATAATAAAAAAAAATCCCAGAAAATCCCCCCCCCCCCGCGAACGGCGGCGGGAACGACAGCGGGAATGGCAGCGGGAATGGCAGGAACGACAGCGGGAATGGCAATGGGAATGGCAATGGGAATGGCGGGAATGGCAGCGGGAATGGCAGCGGGAATGGCAGCGGGAATGGCAGCGGGAATGGCAGCGGGAATGGCAGCGGGAATGGCAGCGGGAATGGCAGCGGGAATGGCAGCGGGAATGGCAGCGGGAATGGCAGCGGGAATGGCAGCGGGAATGGCAGCGGGAATGGCAGCGGGAATGGCAGCGGGAATGGCAGCGGGAATGGCAGCGGGAATGGCAGCGGGAATGGCAGCGGGAATGGCAGCGGGAATGGCAGCGGGAATGGCAGCGGGAATGGCAGCGGGAATGGCAGCGGGAATGGCAGCGGGAATGGCAGCGGGAATGGCAGCGGGAATGGCAGCGGGAATGGCAGCGGGAATGGCAGCGGGAATGGCAGCGGGAATGGCAGCGGGAATGGCAGCGGGAATGGCAGCGGGAATGGCAGCGGGAATGGCAGCGGGAATGGCAGCGGGAATGGCAGCGGGAATGGCAGCGGGAATGGCAGCGGGAATGGCAGCGGGAATGGCAGCGGGAATGGCAGCGGGAATGGCAGCGGGAATGGCAGCGGGAATGGCAGCGGGAATGGCAGCGGGAATGGCAGCGGGAATGGCAGCGGGAATGGCAGCGGGAATGGCAGCGGGAATGGCAGCGGGAATGGCAGCGGGAATGGCAGCGGGAATGGCAGCGGGAATGGCAGCGGGAATGGCAGCGGGAATGGCAGCGGGAATGGCAGCGGGAATGGCAGCGGGAATGGCAGCGGGAATGGCAGCGGGAATGGCAGCGGGAATGGCAGCGGGAATGGCAGCGGGAATGGCAGCGGGAATGGCAGAGGGAATGGCAGTGGGAATAACATAACGGGAATGGCAGTGGGAATAACAGGAATGGCAGCGGGGATGGCAGCGGGAATAACGGGAATAACGGGAACGGCAGCGGGAATGGCAGTGGGAATAACAGGAATGGCAGCAAGAATGGCAGAGGGAATAGCGGGAACGGCAGCGGGAATGGCAATGGGAATGGCAGCGGGAACGGCAGCGGGAATAATGGGAATGGCAGCGGGAGTAACGGGAATGATGGGAATGACAGCGGGAATGACAACAGGAATAGCAACAGGAATGACAATGGGAATAACAGGAATAATGGGTGAATGGGAATGGGATTGGTGGGATAATGGGAACGGGGGGAATAGTGGATTTAATGGGAATAATGGGAATATTGGGAATGGGTATGAGGGGGTTGGGATCCCCTCAGGGAATTCTGGGATCTCCTGGGTGAGTTTTGGGGTCACTTGAGGGAATACTGGGCTCCCCTCTGGAATTCCGGGCTCCCCCCTAGAATTTGGGACCCCTATGGAATTCTGGGCTCCCCCCTGGAATTCCGGGCTCCCCCCTGGAATTCTGGGTTCCCCCCTGGAATTCCAGGCTCCCCTCTGGAATTCCGTGTTCCCCCCTGGAATTCCAGGCTCCCCTCTGGAATTCCGTGTTCCCCCCTGGAATTCCGGGCCCCCCTCTGGAATTGTGGCTCACCTGCAGGGGCCTGGGCTCCGTGATGCGCTGGGGGGGCCCCTGGGGACACCCCGGGGGCTCCGGCTCCTGCTGGGATCCCGGAATTCCCACGGAGCCGGGGGGGGACCCCAGCAGGGTCAGGGCCACGTAGGCACCGGCTGGGAACGAAACGGGACACGGGAATGTCAGCAGGAAGTCCAGGAAAAGTCTGGGATAAGGGGGCTGTGAGGGGGGGCTGGCAGGGAAAATTCACAAGGGAAAAAATTCCGGGAGAAACGGGAGCGGGAAGGATTTCCTGGAAAACGGGGGGAAAAGGATTTCCAGGAAATATCCGGGATAAGGGGCTGAGAAAGAGTCCCAGGAAAAAGTTGGGAAAAGAGGTGAGAAGGATTTCCAGGGAGAATTTCCCAGAAAAAACTCCTAGGAAAAAATTCCAGGAGAAGTGGGAGCGGGAAGCATTTCCAGGGAGAATCTGGGATGAGGGGTAGGAAGGATTTCCTGGAAAAATGTGGGGAAAAGGGCTGGAAACACTTCCAGGCTCCCCCCGAATTCCCCAAGGATGGAAAACGTCCTCCCCCTCCCCCAGCCCCGCCCTTTCCCATGGAATGGGAGGAGAATTCCCAGGAGAATTCCCGGACTCACACTTGATCAACTTCACCACCTCCAGGTGGGAGCTGTTGGTCACCATCGTCCCGTTCACCTGCGGGAAAATGGGAATTCCCTCCGGAAAACGGGAATTTCCCTGGGAAGGTGGGCAGGGGGGCTGGGAAAATGGGAATTCCCCCGGGAACGTGAGGAGGGGGGCTGGGAAAACGGGAATTCCCCCCGGAAAACGGGAATTCCCCCCGGAAAATGGGAATTTCCCTGGGAATGCAGGCAGGGGGGCTGGGAAAATGGGAATTCCCCCGGGGAAATGGGAATTCCCCCAGGGAAGGCGGGCAGGGGGGGCTGGAAAAATGGGAATTTCCCCGGGAAGGTGGGGAGGGGGGCTGGGAAAACGGGAATTCCCCGGGAAAACGGGAATTTCCCCGGGGAGGCGGGAGGGGAGCGGGGAGCCCTGTCCCCCCGTCCCCCCTGTCCCCCTGTCCCCACCGGGCCGCACGGACTGCACGAGCACCACGCGGTCGCCGCTGACGGTGAAGCCGAAGCCATGCTGGTCCCGCTGGATGATGACACAGCGCTGCACCAGCCCTGCGGCACGGACACACGGACACACGGGGACACACGGACACGGGGACACACAGGGACACACGGACACGGGGACACACAGACACAGCGGACACACAGGGACACACGGACACACGGACACAGGGGACACACTGACACACAGGGGACACACGGACACACAGGGACACACGGACACAGGAGACACACGGACACAGGGGACACACAGACACACAGGGACACACAGGGGACACACGGACACAGGGGACACACGGACACACAGGGGACACAAGCACAGACAGACACAGGGACAGACAGACACAGGGACAGACGGACACAAGGACAGGAGCAAGAGGAGCCAGTGAGGCTCTGCAGTCTGGGTTTGGCCCTGAGGAACCCCCGGTGCCAGGGCCTGCCAGACCTCGGGGTCACTGTCCAGCCCTGACCACCAGCCCCTGTGGCCACCCCTGCCCTCGGGGTCACTGGCCACCCCTGACCGCCAGCTCCTGTGGCCACCCCTGACCTCGGGGTCACTGTCCAGCCTTGGCCACCAGCTCCTGTGGCCACCCCAGACCTCGGGGTCACTGTCCAGCCTTGGCCACCAGCTCCTCTGACCACCCCAGACTCCCCAGGCCCGCATTCCCCCTTGTGGGACCCCAAATCCCCAAATCCCAACATTCCAAGAGCGTGGGAAGATCTGGACCCGCACCCCCAACCCTGAGTGACCACTGAGTGACCACTGAGTGACCACTGAGTGCCCGGACTCCCAGAATTCCCCAGGGAAATTCCCACCTGTGGACTCCGAGGCGTCCGAGGGCTGCCGGTGGTGGCCGGGGGACCTTCGCTCCGAGGGGGACTCGCCCAGGGACGAGGAGAGGCTGCTCAACCTGGGGTGGGAACGGCAACTCGGCACCTCGGGAACGGCCGGGATGGCCACCTGGCAGATCCCCCTTTTCTCTGGGATCACCCCCCCCCCAAGGAAAAAGCCCTGTGGGTTTTCCAGCCCCTTTTCCAGCCCCTTTTTCCATGAGAAGCCCAGACCTGGGCACTGCCCTGGACGTTCCCGGCCAATCCGGGGGAAAATCAGGATTAACCCTCGGGATTACCCACGGCCAAGCCCGGGTCAGCCCTTGTTATCCACCCAAAATCCCTTTTTTTCCCCAAAAAAATCCCCGAATTCCGAGACCCGTGGCATTCCCGAGATGTTTTCCATTAAAAGCCACAATTCCAGGAATGCCCGGGTGCCAGCCAGGGGGATCCAAGGGGATCCAGAGGCTTTTCCTGCCCCTCTGGAAGCAGCCGGGGCTTAACCAGGCTATAAAAAAGTCGTTTAATTCGGCTTAATTAAAGCTCCTTAATTGCCTCGGGGGCGGCCCAGCCACGGCAATTCCCACAATTCCCATTCCAGCGGGGCCTCCAGAGGGACCCCAGCTCTGCTCTCCCTTCCCAGCTCCCAAAAATCCAAAATTCCCAAAATATTGGAGCTTGGAATGGGGAAAAAAAATTCCCTTTTCCCAGCATTTCTGCCCACTGGCTTCCTTCCCACAACAGGTTTGGGATTCCCAGCTGGAAAATCCCACGGAAACCTGGGACAAACCAGGGTTCAAAGCAGGAAAAATGGGAAAAAAAATCCCATTTTCCAGCATTTCTGACCACTCCGTTCCCTCCACGCCGTGGTTTTCCAAGGAACAACAGAATTCCAGGGGCAGCTGGGACGAGCTGCAGGGTTCTTCCCAAAAAATTCCCAAGTGTTTTTGTTGGGAATGCTGCAGGATAACCCCAGCTTTTCCCTGCATCCCAAACCCTTCCACGCTGCTCCCAACCCCTGCAGTCATTCCTGGGGGTTTTTTTTTGGGATCTGATCCCGCTGGGAATCTCCCACAGGGCTCTGCGAGGAGCCAGGATTCCCAAAATCCCACCAATTTTCACGGGAACGACCCCGAATTCCCAAATCCCCCAGGGGAAACGGAACGTGGGAACTGCGGGGCTTTGATTCCCAAATTAACAAAAACTCTCAGGGATTAAAAAAAAAACCTCGGGGGAATTTTTTCTTCCCACATTCCGGCGGCGGCCGCCGAGTTCTGGGGAGGAATTCCGGGAGTTCGGAATTTCTCCTCGGATTTGCAACATTTGGTTCCCTCCCTGCCGGGGGCTGCGGCTCCGCTGCCTTCCCTGGGAAAGCACCAGGGAAAGCCACGGGGAGAGCAGGGAAAAAATGGGAATTTTCCCCATTTTCCCTGCTTTTTAAACCTGGTTTATCCCGGGTTTCCGTGGGATTTTCCAGCTGGGAATTCCAGTTCCAGTGTGGGAAGGATGCCAGTGGGCAGAAATGTTGGGAAAAGGGAATTTCCCCCCATTTTTCCTGCTATGAACGTGGTTTATCCTGGATTTCCATGGGATTTTGCAGTTTTCCCCATTTTCCCTGCTTTTTAAACCTGGTTTATCCTGGATTTCCATGGGATTTTCCAGCTGGGAATTCCAATCCTGCTGTGGAAAGGAACCCAGAGATCAGAAATGTTGGGAAAAGGGAATTTTTTTCACCAATTTTCCTGCTTTAAACATGGTTTATCCCAGATTTTGGTGGATTTTCCAGCTGGGAATTCCACTTTCAGTGTGGGAAGGAAGCCAGTGGGCAGAAATGTTGGGAAAAGGGAATTTTTCCCCATTTTCCTGCTTTAAACGTGGTTTATCCCAGATTTTGGTGGATTTTCCAGCTGGGAATTCCACTTTCAGTGTGGGAAGGAAGCCAGTGGGCAGAAATGTTGGGAAAAGGGAAATTTTCCCCACTTTTCCTGCTTTTTAAACATGGTTTATCCCAGATTTTGGTGGATTTTCCAGCTGGGAATTCCAGTTCCAGTGTGGGAAGGAACCCAGAGATCAGAAATGTTGGGAAAAGGGAATTTTTCCTGCTTTGAACGTGGTTTATCCCAGGTTTCCATGGGATTTTTCCAGCTGGGAATCCCAAACCCTTTTTTTGGGAAGGGATCCCACGGGGACGGCACCGCCCGGGGCGATCCCAAGTGCTGGAAATCGGGAATTTTCCCTGGTTTTTGTTGTTTTTTTTTTTTCGGGAATTCTCCAGGGGAATTCTCCAGGAAGCTGCTCCAAGGGTTCCCGGCGGGGTAATGATTAACGGGAGCCACTCCTGGAAAAGTGGGAAGTGGCAGAGCTGGTTTGGCCGGGAATTCGGGATCCTGGAATTCCCTGGCCCCGGGGGATCCTTTTCCCTTTCCCTGGCACGGGGAATCCGCGGAATTCTGGGGCTGGGAGCGATCCCAGAGGGTGAGGGAGGGAGCCGGGCACTTCCAGGGATGGAAATCCACGGAATAACCCGGGGCAGGATCCAGGATTCACCCCTGAAACCCCAAACAATCCTGGAATTCTCTGGGATGGAAAAGATCCCTAAATCCCAAAAAATCCCACCCTAATCCCAATCCCAGGGACATTCCCACCATCCCAGGGAATAACCTGGGATAGGATCCAGGGCTGATCCCTGGAATCCCAAATAAACCAGGACAGGGAATCCTGGAATTCTGTGGGATGGAAAAAGCAGGAAAAAAAATCCGGGAATTTGGTGGGAAAATGATCCCCGAAATTCACGGGATCTGCTTCATTCCCAGGGCCCCAAATTCCTCATTTTCCACCCAAATCCACGTGGGAAATGCCGTGGCTGGAGCAGGGATCCCAATCCAGGAATCCTCAGCTAAATTCCTGAATTCATCCCAGAAAAACCTCCAGGGTTTTCCAAGGGTTTATCCCACAAAAAAAAAAAAAAAAAAAATCCCCAAATTTGGTTTAAAATGGAGCAAAACAAACTGGGAAAAAGCCAATTTCCAGTGGCGGATACTGGAAATATCCCAAAAATCAGAAAGGTTTGGGATATTCCAACCCCACTCCCCAAATCCGGGAGTTTTATCCCAAAACGTTGCTCCCCTGAGGGATTTACGGAAATGTGGGATGGACTCAGCCCTCCCCGTTCCCAAAATCCCGGAGTTTTATCCCAAAACGCTGCAAGGATGGGGTGGAGGTCGTGGGCTGGGCTGAGCCCCCCCAGAATTCCCAAAATCCCAGAGTTTTACCCCAAATTCCCATCTTTCCCCCCAAGGAATGGGGTGAGGGCTCCAGGACAGGCTGAGCCCCCTCCCAGATCCCCCAAACCCCCAAAATCCCGGAATTTCACCCCAAAGCACTGCAGGGATGGGGCAGGAGCTCCACCCTGATCTAAATCCCTTCCCCTGAGCCCCAAAACGCCAGATTTTCGCCCCAAAATGCCAGATTTTCACCCCAAATCCCTGCTTTTCCCCCGGGACATGGGGCGGGAGGTGCAGATGGGGCTGAGCCCCCCCAGAGCCCCCAAATCCCAGAGTTTCACCCCAAAACACCCAAACCCCCAGCGTTTCACCCCAAAACACCCCAAATCCCAGCGTTTCACCCCAAAACACCCAAATCCCAGCGTCTCACCCCAAAACACCCCAAATCCCAGCGTTTCACCCCCAAAACACCCCAAATCCCAGCGTTTCACCCCAAAACACCCAAACCCCCAGCGTTTCACCCCAAAACACCCCAAATCCCAGCGTTTCACCCCAAACACCCCAAATCCCAGCGTTTCACCCCCAAAACACCCCAAATCCCAGCGTTTCACCCCAAAACACCCAAACCCCCAGCGTTTCACCCCAAAACACCCCAAATCCCAGCGTTTCCCCCCAAACCACTGCCGGGGCGGGGCGGGGGGTCCAGGAGGAGCTGAGCCCGTTTTCCCCCAAGCCCCCAGAGCCCAAAATCCCTGAATTTCACCCCAAATCGCCGCTTTCCCCCCGAGACGCGTGGTGAGGGCTCCGGGACGAGCAGAGCCCCCTCCCAGAGCCCCAAAGCCCCCGAATCTCACCCCAAATCCCGGTATTTCACCCCAAAACCCTGCGGGGACACGCTGCGGGGTCCGGGACGAGCTGAGCCCCCTCCTCTAAGCCCCCAAACCCCCGAATTTCACCCCAAACCGCCGCTTTCCCCCCCCCGGCAGCGGCGTGACTCCTCCCGGAGCAGCCGAGCCCCCTCCTGACCGCGGATGTGGGGGACAGGGGGGACAGTGTGGGTCTGGGGACACTGAGTGAGCTCGGGGTGTGGGGGACACAGGGACAGTGAGGATTTGAGGGGACACAGTGACCTCGGGTGCGGGGGTTACCGGGACAGTGAGGGGGTCACAGTGACCTCGGGGTGTGGGGGACACGGGGGACAGTGTGGGTTTGAGGGGACACACGGTGACTTCGGGGTCTGGGGCCACAGAGTGACCTCGGGGTGCGGGGGACAGTGCGGATTTGGGGGTGTGAGGGGACACAGGGTGACCTCGCAGTGTGGGGGACACCCACGGGGACAGCGAGGGTTTGAGGGGGACACGATGTCCTGGGGGTGTGGGAGGTGACGGGGACAGCGAGGGAGGGGGACACTGAGTGACCTCGGGGTGCGGGGGACAGCGAGGGAGGGGGACACAGGGACAGCGAGAATTTGGGGACACGGGGACAGTGAGGATGTGGGGACACCCACGGGTTTGGGGACAGTGAGAATTTGGGGACAGTGAGGATTTGGGGACACCCACGGGTTTGGGGACAGCGAGGCTTTGGGGACACTCACAGGGACAGTGAGGATTTGGGGACACCCATGGCTTTGGGGACACCCACGGCTTTGGGGACACCAACGGGTTTGGGGACAGTGAAGATTTTTGGGGACACCCATGGGGACAGAGTGGCTTTGGGGACACAGGACAGCGAGGCTTTGGGGACAACCCCAAAACCCCCAAAGAGACCCCCCAGAACCTCGGGAATTTCTGGGATCCGGGGAATCCCCCGACGCCCCTTCCCAAAATTCCTCCCGGATCCCGAACTCCACAAAAACCTTGGAAAAAGCCCAAACCTCCCAAGGAAACCAGGAGCCCTCTCTGTTAAAAGGTTTTTATTTAACGTTTTCAATTCGAGGTAAAATACTTTTTATTTTTCAGGTTTTTTTTTTTTTCCTTTTTTTCCGTTTTTTTTTTTTTCAACTTCCATAACAAAATACGGAGCTATGGGATACCCCTGGAAAAAAATATGTATATTATCCATAAATTTCTCTAGCACTCCATCATATATATATATAATATATATATGCAACCCTTTTTTAAATCTGATTTTTATAGAAATCGGAACTTTTTAAAGGCACAAATTTCGGATTTTTTGTCTTTTTTTTTTATGTTTTCTTTTTTTTTGCCCCTCTACTTTACACCCTATGTACAAAGCCACGCTCCCCATCCCAAATTCCATCGATTTTCCCGGTGGATTCCTGCCGGATTCCCACCGGGCAGAGTTCAAATCCCTCAAAATCCCTCGAAAAAGGGGTTTTTTGAACCCAAAGAAAAGCGTAAATATCGGTTTAAAAAGCGCTAAAAAAAAAAAATCAAAGTTTTTTTCCCCCGGAAAACCCAAAGTTTTTCCGGATTTTTGATGATTTCAACCGAGAGAAAATTCCTGGTTTTTTTTTTTCAATCCCACCAGGACGCGGAGACGCGAACAAAAAAAGAAAGAAACCAACGGAAAAACAGCTTAAAATAATAAAAAACCTCAACATAATTATGGAATAAATAAAAAAATCCGGGACAACCCCATTAATGCTGTTGGGATTTTTCCTCCTTTTCCTCCTTTTTGGGGAATTCCTCCCCAAAAATTCCCCCTTTTTGGGGTTGTCCCATCAAAAAGTCTTTTTTTTTTTCTCGTTTTTTAACATTTTTCCTACGGATTTGCTACGAAAAAGAAGCAAAATTAACAAAAAAAACGGCTGGAAAAACGGGATCATGCTCCGGGGCAAATTCATCCAGGAGAGAATTCCAACCATTCCCAACTTCCCGAGGGTTTGTTTTTATTGAACGGTTTGGCACCTTGGAATTTTAGGAATTTTTCCTTGAAATTTCCGATTTTTTTCTCCATAAAATTTTGATCTGGTTGATTTTTTTTTTCCTTTAAATCCTTTTTTTTTTAATGTTTTCATTCTCCTCTTCCTGCTTGTTTTTTATTTCCTTCCTCTTCCTGCTTTTTTTTTTCCTCCTCCCGGGCTCCGTTGGGAATTCCGGAATTCCCGAGAGGCGCCGGATCCGTCGTCCTGAGTCCGGAATTCCCTGAACTCTCCCAAGTTTTTTATTTCCGTTTTCATTTTTAATCCTTTTTTTTTTTTTCCTTTTTTTTTTTTTTTTTTGCAGGGCAATGGCTGGGAAAAAAAAAAAAACCCCCAACGTTCCCCCCCTTCCCAAAAAAACCCCCAATCCCAAAAAATCCTTTTTAAAGCCACAAAAACTCCAACTTCTTTCCTCCTCTTCCCGTGGGATTTCGCCTCGAATCCGAAGGATTGGAGGTGGGGAAAATCTGGGATTTCCCCCCGTTTTTTTTTGTGTTTTTCCCGACGGTTCCGGCACTTGGATTTGGGATCGGCAGCGGGAATTCCGGGAAAGGCCTCCTCGTGTAATTCCTGAGTTCGTCCTCGCGCCCTCTCCGGGGTTTTTGTTTTGTTTTGTTTTTTTTTTTTGGGATAATCCAGGGGTTTTCCACCCCAAATTCTTTGAACTCCACATTCCGAAGGATCCCAAACCCGGCCGGGTTGGGACTTTGGGAATCGCTCCCGGTTCCTCTTCCAGCAGGGAATTTTCCTGCCCCGCGCCGTCCCCCCGGAATTCCCGGCATTTGTGAATCCTTGGGAATTCCCGGCTCCGCCCCGGCCTTCTCCAGGGTTTATCCCGCTGGGAGCACAATCGGAGCCTCCGGAATTCCGCTGCGCGGGGAACGGCGGGATTTGGGATTTTCCCCCCCCCAAAAACCAGGAGGGATCCACGAAATCCGAGCGATTCCCGGAAAGAAAATTCCCAGAAAAAGTCCAAACGTGGTTTTTGTTTTCTTCTTTAAGGCATGAGTCAAACGGGGAGAAAGGGGGAGGGTCCAAAAATCTGGGAATGGCGCCGGGAATTCCGGCGTTCCCGGGACTCACCACAATCATTCCAGCGCTCCTTCCAAGCATTCCCAAAAATTCCACCCACACGGATTCCGCAGCGGGAAAGAAAAAACTCCCGCTCCGGGCACACGAAAACAAAAAAAAAAAAACCAAACCCCAACATTTTTAATGCGTTAGGATTAAAGGCATCCGGTTAATTTTGTGTTATTCCCGTTCCCATTCCCTGAAAAAGTTTGGAGAGTTTTGCTCATGGCTTCTGTGAGAGAGAGAGAGAGAGAGAGAGAGAGAGAAAAAAAGGCGGGAAAAGGGGAAATTTCCCCGGAAATCCGCCGGGAACGACGCGGCCTCCATCCCGATTTTCCGAGTTTTCCTGAATCCTCTTCCCCCCGCCCCAACCCCGCTCCGTGGACAGTGCAAAATTCCCGATGCAAAATTCCCAAGCTCCACCTTTTCCCAAAAAAAAAAAAAAAAAATTAAAAAAAAAAAAGATTGAACCAAACCAGCTCCTGGATGGCCGGGGAAACCCGGCATTATCCGTGAAAAACGAAAAATCCCAAAAAAACCCCCCTGGATCTGGAGATTCCCGGTGTCCCAAAGAGGCCGGGAGCGGCCCCGAGGCCGCGCCTGGAATTCCTCCATCCCAGTCCTGGAGCTCGAGCCGGCTTTTCCCGGGAAAAGCGAGCGGGAATTGCGGCGTCTTCACCTGCAAGTCAACAACAGAAACAACACAAAGCCCGAAGCTCCCCGCCCCCCTCCCTTCTCCCACCCCTGAAATTCCCTAAAAATTCCCAGACCTACCCCGCCCCCCTCCCCGCCCTGATCCCAAACTGCTCTGCAACCTTGCTACATAAATACACGGATGTTTTTCCGGGTGTTTTCCAAGGTTTTTTTGTTCCAGCCGGGATTAGGTGTCGGAGGCGGCGGCCACGGCCTTGGGGAGGTGCCAGATCCCGTTGGGCCGCGGCTCCTCGGGCATTTCCTGCCGGGAATCTCCGTTCCAGCGGCGCTTCAGCCGCAGCTTGGGGGGCATCAGGGCGTCCTCCCTCCTCTCCTGGCCCCCGGCCTCCCCGGAGCAATCCCGGCCCGATTTCTCCGCGCTCTCCTCTCCGGGGGCGCCGGCCGGAGCGGGCACGGGGATCCACGCCGGAGCCGCCGGGCGGGCGAAAACCGGCACCTTCTCCTCCTCTTCCTCCTCCTCCTCCTCTTCCTCCCCGTGGCGTCTCTCCGGCTTCTCCTCCTCCTCCTCCTCCTCGTGCTGCTCCTTGTCCGGCGCCGGCTCCACCTTGACGCGGGGCAGCGGCGCGCCGGCGGCCTCGGGGCTCTCCAGCCTCTCGCGGTTCTTGCGGCCGGCCGGCGGCGGCTGCAGCTTGATGGGGAACTGCGGCTGCTCCTCCAGCGGCACCGGGCACTGCAGCGGCGGCACCACCAGCGGGTAGCGGGGGAAAGTCCGCGGGCTCAGGTGGTAGTTGAACACGGAGCAGGCCTGCGAGTGCAGGTAGTGCTTCATCTCCTCGGGGTTGAAGGAGAAGCAGCTGCTGCCGGCGGCGGCGAAGGGGCTGAGCCCCGGCGACGGGCTGTAGGAGAAGAGCGTGGGGGTGAGCGACAGCGCCGGCGAGATGGGCACGTTGAGCACGCCGGGGCGGCCCGGCAGCGGCGACACGGCGAAGGGGCTGTGCGGGTGCTCGGGGAACATCCCGGGCCGGGAGAAGAGCGGCAGCACCACCTCGGGCTTGCGCTTGGGCCCGGCGGCTGCGGCGGCGGCGGCGGCGTGCGGCGCGGCCAGCAGCTCCCGGCGCCAGTCCGGGCC